CCAGGGAGGGACCCGGAGCTCCCCCGGGGACCAGGGAGGGACCCGGAGCTCCCCCGGGCTCCCAGGGAGGGACCCGGAGCTCCCCAGGCGACAACAGAGGAACTAGAAGGTCCCCAGGCTCCAACTAAGGGTCTGGATCGTGCCTGAACTAAAAGCGCAGCCCAACACGCGGGAGCAGCAAGGCCTGCAGGCGCGGTGCACGGCATGCACGGTGCACGGCATGCACGGTGCATGGCATGCACGGTGCATGGCATGCACGGAGGGCTGTGCTGCACGGCCGGCTGCAGCTGCAGCCCCGTGCGCGGAGGCCTCCGGGGCAGGTCCCGCGCGGCGCCGGCTCCACAGGGAGAATCTCCCCTGCTCTGAAGCAGTCGGGAAAGCCGCGCACAGGGAATGCCGAGCGGGCTGGGGAGCACTCACCGCCGCCAGCGCCTCCTCCAGCGTGCGGAAGCCGCCCGGCCGCGGCGCCCCGGCGCCCGCCGCCTTCCTGGCGCCCCGGCCCGCGGGCGGCCGCCGCGCCGGCTGCTCCGTGCCCGCCGCCGGCGGCACCTGCTCCTTGTTCTGCTTCCTGGCGGCCTTCTCGAAGCCCAGCTCGAAGAGCGTGTCCGAGGGGGCGATGGGGGCTGCAGGGGACGGGAGGGCACAGGGTGACGGGGGACCCTGCGGCAGCGCCCGCGGGTGCAGGGAATGCGGGAAAACCCCCGCGCCCAGGGGAAACCCCCGCGCCCAGGGGAAATATCTGTGCAGAACGGGAAAGACACCCGCCCCGAGGGAAAACACCCGAGCCCAGGGAAAAGGCACCCGCGCAGAAGGGGAAACGCACTCGGAGGGGAAAAGACGCCCGTSCAAAGGGAAACGTCCACGCAGAAYGGGAAAGACACCCGCCCCGAGGGAAAACACCCGCCAAAGGGGGAAACATCCGCCCCAAGGGGAGAGAGGCCCGGGGCAGCCCGGCCAGCGCCGGCGGAGCAGCCGCCGCGGCAGCAGCAGCACCAGGAGCCGGTTCCGGCAGCG